AGAGCCTTCATACGCAAACAAATCAGTAACATTTTCTTGAGGTATATCTATAAATTAACAAAATTCAAATAATTTAAAATTTATATATTTGTTTATACAATATATATACAATTGTATATACAATATATATTTAATTGGTTATTTTTATAGGTTTGTATATGAAACAGAGCATTTCAATGGAGTTGGTGAACTTCTTGAAATTTTGGGTAGCATTATAAATGGATTTGCTCTTCCTTTAAAAGTTGAGCACAAGCAATTTTTAGTTAAGGTAAAAAAATATAAAAATATTAAATTTCAAAAATATATTTTAAAATTTGATTCATCTTTTTTTTATCTTGTTACAGGTGCTGCTACCATTACATAAAGTAAAGTGCTTATCATTATATCATGCACAATTAGCTTATTGTGTGGTACAATTTCTTGAAAAGGATGCAACTCTAACAGAACCTGTTATACGAGGCCTCCTTAAGTTCTGGCCTAAAACGTGTAGCCAGAAGGAGGTAATGTTCCTTGGTGAAATTGAAGAAATTTTGGACGTGATAGAACCTAGCCAATTTGTTAAAATACAAGAACCTTTATTCAGGCAAATTGCACGTTGTGTTTCTTCACCACATTTTCAGGTATTTGAATTTAATTTTTAATAATTAATAATATAACTACTTAAAATATAGAAAAATTATTAAAAATTATTTTTAACGATAAAATTATTTTACATAGGTTGCCGAAAGAGCATTGTTCTTTTGGAATAATGAATATATAATGTCTCTAATTGAAGAAAACAATCATGTAATAATGGGAATTATGTTCCCGGCATTGTATAGAATTAGCAAGGAACATTGGAATCAGACAATTATAGCCCTTGTTTATAACGTTTTAAAAACATTTATGGAAATGAATAGCAAGCTCTTTGATGAACTTACTGCCAGCTATAAGTCTGAAAGGCAAAAGTAAGTAATATTTTATTTTATTTAAAAAAATAATATAAAATAATTCTATAAATTTAAAAACTTCTTTTTGAAAAACAATAAAATGAAATTCGTCGATAGCTTTTATATTATCTATAGAAATATTTTGTAATGTCAGAGAAAAGAAGAGAGAAAAGGAAAGAGACGAATTGTGGAGGAAACTGACTGAATTGGAGGTAGAGCGACGTAATGCGCTTACAGCTACTTTCAATAATCCAGTTCCTGCCACAACACCTACGACACGAGCCCGCCCTTGAACTGGTAAATAATTAAATATGCATTATATTTATATATGTGTGTGTGTATATATATATATATATGTATAATATATAGTGAATATTATTACAGGTGGAAATATACTCCCAAGCTGCCCAATCATTAGCCCTTAGTTTACGTCGATTGTCCATACACTACATGCAAAAATTATTGTTGTTAGTGGAGCAAAGTGTCTCACAATGGCATTCTTGACGTAATGTAATTTCTTTCATTAGTTACTAGCCTAAAGGGCGAAGTGGAGAAGAGAAAAATGAAAGAATTAATAATCATAATTTCATTCTTCTTCGACGCAATGATGATTGATGAGTTCTAATATTTTTATTGTGTACATTAATTTCTACTTTTCTTTTTCCTTTTTCTTTAATAGCAATGATTTAATTTGTACAATTTATTCAGTGTCAGCACATAATACGAGAATGTTAGTCCCTTCTTTAACTAAAGTTTAGCTGCGCTCGGTTAGGAGGAGACGATCAAGATGTAAATTCAAATAGATAAAATATATTGTTATAATATTAATTTTTGCATGTGACATTTGCTTCAGTTTCTAAATGGCTAATGTCCTTTCATGACTGACCCACCTTACTCTGATTCTCGCCTCCAACAGAGCCAGCAGGGGCGTTGTTTGAAATGTATCATATATTCGTATTAATGATAATGATAACTATAACAAAACATAATAAAATTAGGTAAATATATAAATATATATAATACAATATATTATATAAAAATATAGTACTATTGATGAGATACAAGTCACACATTCACACATACACGAATACACCAAACTGTGGTAAATACGTGTAACGTACAGACCGATGTGCTACAAATACTAACATTGTGCTGACTGCATGCCCGCAGCAAGTGGAATAAATTTTTTCAAAGAAAAAAGGCCGTGACGATTTGTTCGTCGTATATCGAGAATAATATTGAATAATAAGATTCAATCCATTGAAACAAAAAAACGTAAAAAATATATGTTGTTTTTTAAATAAAAAAAAATAAATAAAAAATGCGAGGGGCAAATATACAATAAAAAAATTTAATTGTACCAAAATATCCATTGCTTATAAATATAATAAATAATAGAGATACAATGCATAAGATTTATTCGGAGCTGTGCTCCCACAGGCCACCGCAAAGACGTGGGATCGTTTTTAAAGTTTCTTACCATTGCATAATAATAATAAACAATAGTAGTTCTTAATAAATAGATGGTTAACAAATGAGTGACAGCTTGCTCATATTTTCATGAAGTAGTTGAGAAATATCTAATATATTTGTTATGTTTTATTCTTCATTCTTTTTATGTCAAATATGTTTTACCTCATCTCATAGCATACTTTGTTTACATTGTACACGATTTATCTCCACTTCATGAAAATTAGTTCAAAAACAAATTGAAATATATAATTATTGTAAATGCTGTAATGTGACTCGAGAAAAACAATACGGATAAATTCATAAGAGTTCTATACGCATAAATAGACACTTTATTAAATGAATGTCTAATTTATTTCTACTCTCTAATTTTTTTTAATGCTGCTTTATCAAATATCTGTAATACTAGATTACTTAAAATTTGTCGTGGCCTATTATTTTATTTTTTTTTTTTTTTTTTTTTTTTTTTAAATATAGTATTTGCAAGTATTC